GCTGGACCCTGGACTGTGGGCTAGACCCTGGACTGTGGGCTGGACCTCGGACTGTGGGCTGAACCCTGGACTGTGGGCTGGACCCTGGACTGTGGGCTGGACCCCGGACTGTGGGCTGGACCCTGGACTGTGGGCTGGACCCTGGACTGTGGGCTGGACCCCGGATTGTGGGCTGGACCCTGGACTGTGGGCTGGACCCTGGACTGTGGACTGGACTCTGGAATGGATGCTAGACTGTGGGTTGGACCCTGGACTGTGGGTTGGATGCTGGCTCGGTGGGCTAGACCCCAGACTGTGGGCTGGACCCTGGGCCCTAGGCCGTGGGTCCACACTGTGGAGGCAGTGTTCTAAAATCTCCTCCTTGTTCTCGGTCTCTGAGTCAGAACCACGAGAACATTTAGACTTCACAGAACAGATCAACGTCAAGAGAAGAAGAAGAAGAAGAAGAAGAGACGACTGTGACTGCTGTGAAAACCGCTCCCACTCTCTATTGTAGTTCCACCGTCCCCCAGGCGAGGGGGGGGAAACTCAACACTTCCTCTCTGAAAGTTTTAAAAGCAGACAACGTTTTTTTTGTCTTCTACTCTTCTTCTCGGCTCACGGCTCTTCCGCATGTTTCCATTTGAGGCCCAGGGCCCTCTCCAGCCCAACGGGGATCAGCAGGAGCAGGACCAGTGTCCCCGCCGTGGGTCCCACGTCCATCCTCATTGGTCTGCGCCGCTGCAGCGGTGAGGGACGAACGGGTGAGTTGTCAGTGGGGGGAGTCCTTTCGGCCTGTCAGAGAGACAAAAACAAACAACCTTCAGTACGGACAGAAAAACATCGTAAAACAACGGACGTCTCAGCGCTAACGAACGGTGTCACTGCAGCTGTCAATCAACAGCTTCATTAAAGTCTACGATGCAATGTGTGGGGTGGGCCACCAGGTGGCGATCAGGTTGTGTTGTGTCAGAATTGTTTTTTTTGTTCTAAATAAAATAAATAAAAATATAAACAAAGCATTCCGTACAGAAGAGGTCATAACCACAGACTCTACGCCCCCTAGGGGTCAGTGTGTGTACATACAGGATCCTGTAATTGTCTATTGTTGGTCAGTGGACACGTGTCGGCGTCTTGGGTCGTTGTTTTGGCCCAGGCTGCACGGCAGGAATAATAAAATGTTGTCTTCGTTATTTTGTTGATGTTTTATTTCAAAGAAAGTGGACCCTGGACTGTGGGCTGGACCCTGGACTGTGGGCTGGACCCCGGATTGTCTATTGTCGGTCAGTGGACACGTGTCGGCGTCTTGGGTCGTTGTTTTTCAGAAGTCACAGTTTTTCCACACCCTCCACCTTCAGTGTAAAAATACTAATCAGGACGTCCAAAAATGGTCGCTACCCAAACCTAAAAATAAATGTTCGGAATGTTCCGGAGACCCACTTTACAGGAGGTAATGTAGGACGAGTGGAGCCCAGGTCGCCGGTGGAGAAGATTTTCTCTGGAAAAAATATTTCTGACTGCATCAGTGACGGTGAACGTTTGAAATTCGATTTCATGTCAGCAAAATAAAGAACGAGAATCAAATCAAGCGGGAGGGCGACGGCTGCAAGAATTCACAATTCAGACAAACCAGGACCAGGGCCGGGGCCGGGACCGGGACCGGGACCGGGACCGGGCCCAGGCCCAGGCCCAGAGACCAGAGACCAGAGACCAGGATCAGGACCAGAGACTAAGAGCAGAACCAGGACCAGGGACCAGAGACCAGGACCAGTACCAGTACCTGTACCAGGACCAGGACCAGGACCAGAGACCAGGACCAGAGACCAGAGACCAGAACCAGAGACCAGGACCAGAACCAGGACCAAAATCAGAACCAGAACCAGGACTAGGACCAGGACCAGAACCAGAGACCAGGAACAGGACTAAAGACCAGTACCAGCACCAGAGACTAGGACCAGAAACCAGGACCAGGACCAGGAGGACAGGATTGGTCAGGTGACTTTCCTGTTGTTCCTGTTTCTCTCTGTTCTCTTTTTCTTACTGTTCCTCACTTTGTCATGAAAGGTGAGACGCAGACTCTCACCCTCCCTCGCTCACCCTCTCCCTTCCCC